CTCCTAGTAGATCACAAATATATTATGAAATGCTTAAGAAACTAAGCATTCAAGACAAAAAATATCTTTAAAAGATATTGAACAAGTTTCTAGAACTTGAAACTACTTCTGAAAAATGGAAATAAAGTCTTATTTATCCAATCGTCAAGTCAAAAACATGAGATTGCAAATTACAAAATATAAGATCAATTGTTTTTCTCAAAGTTATCTGAAAATGTTTTACAAAAATTCTTACCAATAGACTAAGTAATATTTGCAAAACATATAATGTTCTGAAGGATTCAAACTTTACAGATTTACCTGAAAAAGTACAGCAGAACCTATCCAAGTATTGAATAATATTTGTGAGAAAGCCAGAGATAACAAAAAAGAATTATGGATACTCTTCCAAGATACAACCAAAGCATATAATACAATAAGTCTAAATATATTACAAAAGATAATAGAAAGAATAAAAATTCTAGTAGGATTTATCAAAATTATTATGGGCCTTTTTGCAAATAAAGAATTCAGGATACTATACAAAAATAACCTAATAGAATCAATAGTAGTAGAAAATGATATAGATCAAGGGAAAACTATTTTACTACTACTATGGAAAATATTCTATAATTCTTTATTATGCAAAATTCAAAATGACAAATATAAAGAATACACAATGTCAGTCAAGTGAAATTCAGATTTTGATGAAAAGAAAGAACATAAGCTAGAATCCAGATATGCTACAATAGCTTTATGGATGATCAAAAAAGAATATGAAACAAATCTTAGAAACAACAAGAATCTTTTATAAAGTCAATAACTCATATATTAATAGTAGTAAATCAGTTCTTATCACTATTAACAATTCTAGCCAATATTTTGGAAGTGAAAAGTTGAAATGAACAAAGAAGAGGTAAAAGAGCTAGATAGAAATGAGTATATCAGATTTCTAAATATATGGACAAGAAATCAAAAAATTTTAACATAAATAATAAAGAAAATTAATAGGAAAATCAATTTGATAACTAAAACACTGAAAAAGAAAAAAATAATAGATAAGCAAGCTCTTTATATTTTAAATAGAATTCTAATTCCAAGAATAGAATTTTGAATACAGTATAGTATATTATCATAGAAAACTTGCAATGATATAACAATCAGATTCTGAAAACTATTTAAGACCAAAAGTGCATTATGTAACTCGATACCTAATAATGTAGTACACTACCCTAAAATCTATAGTCTCAAAAGTATATGGATACTACAAAGAGAAAGCCAAGTTACAGGTCTTTATAATAGGCTAAATAATAAAGATCCAGCAGGACTCATAACAATTATTAGGCTTAAACAGGTACAGCTAAAACACTAGAAATCCCAAAACTTGCTCAACTGTAAAGGATTAAATCAAATAATAAACAAGGATAACTTCTCAATACAAATACTCAAAATTGTAAAGGATCTAAAGATAACTTTTCAAAGCTGGAAATGAGAATAAACTTTCAAATGAAAAAAAAGAAACAACTCAATTCAGGAATACCAATTGAAAGAAGAATATAGAAAAACTATTCCATTTCTGCACAACAATAAACTAATATATCTAGATCCAATTATAGAGAAGGAAATCATGAGATTAAAAAAGTAGAGATTGATTCAACTTCTTCAGAGAACAAGTAAAGGATCAATTCCAGATTAATATGGTTGATTATCACACTTATTATCACCAAAAACAATAGAAGAAACCATGAAGAAATAGTGTGATAACAATATTTCATGGGAACTTAACTATCCAAAACTCAACTTAAGTAGAGACAAGAGACAAAAAACCTGATGTATTCTGAATGAAAGTCCAGCAAAATTAATTTGGGGAAAAGTTTCAAGATTAGAAAAGGAACTAGTACACTTTAACTGTGAAGAACAAGCAGAAAACCAGGGAACAACTTTGTTCTAGTACAGAAGATCTACAAATAATATATTTAGTAATAGTGTTTATATTATAAATAGAAATAGAGATAAACTTTATAAGATCACTTTCTTAAACAACTGTAAATCAACAAAAACTATTAAAGAACTAAAAATTTTGATAAAAAAAGAAATACTGGAAAGTAAAATAGTAGACAAGATTCAGTATACTGTAAAATTTCAAGAAAATGAAAATCAAATACTACAGATAATAATCGAATAAGGGAAAACAAGAATTATTGAAGTACATATTCAAAAAGGAATCTATCAAAACTATTTAAAAGAAATTCTATGAAAGAACCTTGAAGAATAAGAGAAATTCCAGTTTTACTCAAATGGATTTCTAATAGATCATAGAAAAGAAACAACTAGAATGGGGATGGCATAGATTTAAACAAGTAGTAAAAATCAAGGAGTAGTCTCCAGGCAAATATACAAAATTGGCTATCATCCATAAGAGCAGAGCTAATAGCAATAGTTACAATCCTGTTGGTAATATCAGTAAAAAACTTAGTTGAAATCTATACTAATAGTCAAACCTGTATATCTAAATGGAACAAGTTGAAAAAAGACAATCCAAAAATGACTCATAGAAGATAACTTAAAGAAAAAAACTGGTTTTTTTAAGCAAGGATACTAAATATTATCAAAATAAAAAACATAAAATTGAAGTTGATTAAAGTTAAGGCATATATTAATATTAAGAAAAATAATTTAGCAGACAAGTTGACTAAAGAAGCACCAAATCTTTCAACAATCTAGTGAAAAGACCTTAAATCTGACAAGATCATTACAAAAGTTAAATGTTAGGATAAAATACTGGATAATCTCATAAGACAATTCATAAAAAAGATACTGTAAATAATAAAACAATAACATACTGTTAATCACAACAAAATTAAACTAAGGACAAATAGAACCTTCAAATAGAAGATCAACAGAACTATTCATAGGACATGATATGGAAAAGACTAAAAAAGGAATATATGTAAGAAACCTTCTTTAAAAGCTTATAGTAAAAAAGTTTTCTGGTAAAGTTAATCAATAATTAACTACTAATAATGACCAAACTAATAATTAGGAGACCAGATCTATATTACAAAAAAAACTGTCTAATATATGGAGAACAGGAGGAAACAACAGAACATCTTTTGGAATGTCCAAGATATAAAAATATAATAAAGGAAGCCTGGTCAAGAGGTGTAGAGACAATATATCAAGAATTAAGAAAGAAAGGTTGAAGTGAAAAAACCAAGCTCAAAAAGAAAGCAGTAGTATCTTGACAGTATATAAAAAAGAAATGAGAGAAATAGAAGCATGAACAACAAAACTAATAAGAAAAGTATCCAAAAATAGTCAAGACTTAGTTAGTTTTCTCTCAGGTCTGATTAAAAGAAATCTACTAAAATAAGTAGTGAAACTCAAATATGAAGGAAAAAAGATAGGAACAGTCACCAGAAAATGGATACTCTGGTGCCAAAAGAAGATTTTGAATTGCTTCAGGAAAGAAGTATGGAACAAACGATGTGACCAAGTAATAGAATAGAAAAAAGCTCAAGAAATTTTCTGAAAAGATAAAATAAGAAGATCTACAAAGTCTTATTTAACAAGAAAATCGAGAAAGCCAAAAAAAGAAAGAAAGAAAACAGAAGAAGAATGTTCAGAAAAAGGTTTAACAAGGATAATAATGATGGAAGTTAAAAGTGAGATGAAATGGTTGGGTTTTAGGCTCGGTCAGAACTTTGGTCAGTGATCTGCAGTAGTGACTGCAGGCAATGATATTCATAGTAGAAGGATATACACCCAAACTATAAATGGAGTGACAAATCACTCCTAAAGTTGCACTTAGAGTTTGACAACAAACTAAGATGAGTGAGTTAGTTAGCGTTCTAGCTTTAGCAACACTATAAATAGTATAGCCTACATTATGTTTAATAGAGCACACATAACTAACCTGACAGTGGGTTAATAATTTTAATTTAATTTAATTTAATTTAATTGATTAATTAATTTATTTATTATTTTATTATTTATTTTATTTATTTATTTACTTTAATATTTTATTATTCTATTTATCTTATTTATTTATTCATTTATTCATTTATTTTATTATTTTATTTTATTTTATTTTTATTCGGATAGATACCTATAAGAGTGATCGCTTTCTTTCTTTCTTTTTTATTGAGCATTATTAGCAATTTAAATCCACGTATCAAGAATAAATAAATAAACAACAAATTAAAAGGTTTGGAAATTAAACTTCATGTTATACTTATGCCGTCCATTCCTTTTCTTTGTGTAATTGTTACAAATAAAACTTCCATTAAAGATAGACGACGCATGGCTGTCAAATTTTTATAACCTCACTTATGGTTTTGGCCAGTGCATCGTAAACGCATAAATCGATTAATTAAAGATAAAGAAAATATCAACAAGAATGCAGGGCATGATTTTGAGATTCGTAAAAACCTCGGATTGGTAGAATACAATAATGTCGTGTTTATCAACGTTTACTGCAAAGTAGCGCAAATTAGTTGATCACTCCACACTATTTATTATGAAACACTTTTTTCTCTCATTTATCGAACAATGCTTATTTTTTTTTTGTAAGAGTCTAATATCTGAGATTGGCACTATGCAATGGTATTACCATTATTCTGAATGAGATCATGTCAATATAATCAAAGTTTTCGATGCTGAGGAACGTGACGTATTCAAACAATGTAAATGGCTTAGTATTTTATTACGAAATCTGTTGCAAAATGATGTCAATTTATGTAATATGATTGGCCTCGTATAACAGAGTAGGCTCAAAGAAGAAACTAAACTTGTATATGAGTAATTTACAAGAAATGTATAGGTTCATGGAGCATTCACAGAAAGAGTGGATTCGCGGAGCATGAGCGGATTTGCGAAGCATTATCCACTAAGTCGTAGGGTATTAAGTTATGTAGGAGTGTAGATTGGTGGTGTATAAGTGTATGTGACGTTAGTTGAGAAAAATATATGGTCAAGCATAAAATGTTTTTTTTTTGTTCGTGTACGTACCAATACGTACATTATTTCCAGTTGTTACCATACAGGGACATATTATTATAATAGTTTTCAAATTCTTCCCATCCGCCAGGGAAAAGTTCTCGACCGAGATCGTTATTAGTTGTGCTTTCAGGTTCAATAACAGGATAGTCGATCAAATCGATCGTAAGACTGGTCGTGGTGTCATCACAACCAGTAACCGAGTCAATCGTAACATCGGTAGTGGTTACGTTTGGATCGTTGACATGCTCAAATGTCGCGGCATTATCAAGATCATCAGAAGTGTGGAATGTGAAATGGCAAAAATTACAAAGAGGGTCTGATAAGCTCAGGAAAGAGGTTGCATCCAATATTTTTTCCATTCCTCGATCAGCGTCATCATCTTCGTCTTCACAGCATAAAGTTAATAAATCATATTGGATACAATAACAGTAGTAATAGTTAAGGACATTTTGACATACCCTGTTCACAATTCCTGAGAGGATTCCGACCAGGTCTTCCTCTACTCTCATATATGCAAACATCATATTGGGGGCCTTTTCTTTTTGAGCATTCTTTACAGGATCTCACGCAATCAATGGCCTCCTTTATGATGCATCTATCACAGACTAGGTTCTCCTTTGTGAATACACATTTATTATTCGATGCTGCACAATTTGAACACTGAATCGTGATACATCTACGACGTGATTTTCTACAGTTTTTGCAAGGATGTAGGTGTTTTTTCGACACAGCATTGAGGTTATGCTTACATAGAAGGAACAAGCGGAGATATTTATAATTTAAATTGCGGAGTATTTTTCTAAAGCTATGCGGAGTTATAAACATCAATATACAATTTTTTTGGTTAGCTTGTACATTATATGGTATTTCCATATTTAAATGGTCTCAAGAACTTACATGAGAAAGAAATATTCCATGGAACACTTTCTCGATGCCTTTGAAGGTAAAGGCGAAGCGTAACAAAGTTGAAGCTTTTTAAAAAAGTTATTTGTCTAGATTCAAGTAAATTACCATGACTTGATCAGGGGATAGGATATTTTTTCATTGGTCGTCATTTTTCCAAGGACGATACGATGAAATATCCGCCGTTTTTTATTGTTCTAAGCATGTCATTTTATATACAGTATGATTAATTTACATAAATGTATCTTGGTATTAAAAAATAAATAAATAAAAATAATAATAATAATAATAATAAAAAAATTCCATCGAGATTTTCCCTTGAGAAATAAATACTTTCTCGGTGTTTATGCGTGTAACAATATTTACTTCTTTTTCTTTGATTGCCTTCATGATGAATGTAATATGGGATCTTTTCGTGCAACAGATGCATGGTTACGCTGATGTATGAGTCAAGTGTTCCTTTGTTTTGACGCCATTTTTTTGTGGCGTACATTGCATACAGGACGGTGAAAAGGTCTTTTTTTACTCCGAAATCTCTAAGTAAACTTCATATTTACAATATTATTTCGTAATTTTTTTTTCTTCTATACAGTATATAATCCAGTACATACTGTTCACAGCGTTGGACAAACTCGTGAATTAACAGTCGCATTACGAAAAGATCATTGTAATAATTTGCCGTTAATTAAAAGTGTGAACTCCTTTGCTCGTTAAAACAGTTCTAGGTAATACTTGTTTCTTCGATCGGTTAAACTAAAAACATCACTCCATCATTTACAATTATAGTTACAATAAATTGTGTGTAATGTAAAATTCATTCATAGTAATTTATAATTTATAATTAAGACGATGAGATAAACTTCCTGTACATAAATTTTTCAAGACTGGGTGAGATCTGGTCTTTATATAAGATTTATTTACTTACTGGATATCGAATGTTTTTGTGTTTTGATGCGTCATATGTGCGATATTGTTATCTAAAAAAAAAAAAAAAAAAAATCATTTTTGATCGGTACCCTTTAAAAATAAATTTGATCTCAATTTTGGTCAAATTGGATCGATTAGATGCTTTAAAATATTGCACGATCACTTATCCAAATAAACATCATACAGATCAAGATTTTTCCCACTTTCTGCGAATATCTTGGCTTCGGTTTTATTTAAGACAGATAATTCATTCGTTTTCCGAAAATAAATAAACAAATAAATAAAAATAGAGCCATCGAAAACTTTGAATCTGTGTAGCCTGATGCGATACGCATTGCAGCACTTGAGATTATCAGAACAATGGTTATTATCATTGACCAATAATTCCGAAAACGTGATAAGACAAAATTATGCAGAATTTACACTAATCACGTGGTGAGTTAATTTATTTTTAATTGCGTGCAATTTCAGTATCCTAGAACAAGTTTGTAAACTATTATTAATGAGCAGTGCAGCACATTTCCTAGATAAGTAATGTACAGCGCAACACATAAGCGCTGCACTGAAGAATCAGTGCACATAAAAGATAAATTTTTTATCAGGCATTTTTGCAATAGCCATTAATTTCCGTGACGAGTATCCAAGATACGCTCGTTACTATCTGTTAAAAACGAATTAACTTACCATAATCTGTTAATGATAATCTAAAATTTTGACACATTATCGCTTAGAGAGGTCGAATGGACTGTGAAGGATGGAGAAAGTTTCTTTATCCTATCCCAACAGTTTTACATGTTCATATATGCAATTTTATTTATTTTTTTATATATTTTTTTCAAAAATAAAAACTCACTACTTGTTAAAGTATTCGTTCAAGTAAGTAATCATGACATATTCAAACCTTTATAAGCAGGGAAGTTATCTTTGCGATCTCAAATCATCAAGAATCTCATGCCAAGAGATACAGTAGATAGATAGTATAGGAGATCATGGGATAGTTTTATTCGAAAATATTTTACACACGCACATACTCAAATAATTGTGCGTAAAAAATAATCACAAGCTTAGCCAAGTATAAATTTTTCCTTACTAGTACATGCGTAATACACCAAATTTTTGCAGTAAATCCTTGTATCTCGTGCCATTCTATTTTTAATTACGTAATCACGTAGGCATACACGGTATTTGATAAACGGATAATGGGTATCAATTGATGAACTTGGGAAATGTATGCGTAGTGAAAGTATCAAAAGACTTATAGTCTCTCGGTTTTGAATTAAAAATAAGGGCGTCTTATTTTCAAAAATTACGAAATTGAACATCCGAAGGTTGATCAATCATTTGTTTATTTGCTAAATAAAGATTTTTTTTCGTTTTTTTTTTACGACTGTCCTTTATTGGTGGACAAGGGAGTTAAGCAAAAACTTACCTACATACAATTTACAATCCACAAAATAAGCTTTTCGTAAAAAAAAAAAATTTTTTTTAGCTTGGACTTCGTATATTATTCAATATTTTGAATAAATCAAGTTTCTTAAATAAAATTAAAAAATTATATTCATTAATTTATTCAATTACGTAATTATTAAGGGCTTTGGTGCATTTTTTTGAAGTCAAGTCGTATAATACACTGCATGCGGAAACTTGATGAGACCTATGCGACTACGAACGGCGAGTAAAATTGCAAGTCACACTCGTTTGTCGCTTGTCGCCTGTCACCAAGTAAATTTTTATAATAAATTTAGTTTTTTCACTTTGAAATTCGTTACTAGATTATTACTTATTCGTATCCATTCATTATATACAGTATTACAAATATTATTTTTAGCTTTTTTTTTGCGGGTTAAATTCCGTAATAATTATGGTAAATAACACGGACTTCCGGCCGCAAGAAATTGACCTTGTGTGCAGTATTATTGACTTAAATATAATAGGAAAGTTGTGCATTTAACATTTGGTAGGTACGTAGTGTGAAGCTTTAATACATAAAATACATAATTTCTATTTTGTATAAATGCTAATATTACAGTGATTTTTTTTTTTTTTACAATTATTATTTAAATTACTTATGTTACACGGGCGCTGAGCGTCCAAACAAGAACATACTGCTTAAATAATATGGTCATAATTTTCTAATTGCTATCCCAGAAACGTAGCCATATTTTGAATTCGTCATATCCCCCTCGAAAAATCTCTGATGAATTGTGGCTTGAGTCACGAGGCGCTGGAAACGTGGCATCGAGTAAGAATGGAACATTCTGCGGGATAGTAAACGGAGGTGTGCCAGAGTTAATTCTATCTTCATTTTCGTCCTCTTCGTCCTCTTCGCATTTATCTTCTGTGTCTCCTCCCCCTTTTTCATCCTTTTTACATTCTGGATTGCCTTCAACATTATTAGCACAAAAAATATCACGTGATACGTATGCGCCTTCATTTTCCGATTGAAATTGTCTGGGTCTACCATGCCTCTTCTTTGTTTCATATACGCAATAGTGCTCCGGATTTTTCTCCCCTATTTTTTCGCACACGCCACAGACCCTATTACAGTTCAAGTCATTTTTTATGATGCAAAAATCGCAAATAAACTGATCCCTTGTAAATTTACACTTGCTTCCTTTTAAGGTACAGTTTTGACAGGAAACTGGATTGCACCTTCGATGTGATTCCTTACATTTTTTACAGGCAATATAATTGTGTTCCCTGCGGATTCTCATCGTCGTTTGTCTGGATGAAAAATTTGAGGAAATCGAAAGCTTACGTATTTATAATTGATTTGCGGATATTTTCATAATCACGGGTCTATTGCGGAGTAAATATTATTCGCTAGCTGTCAAGACGTTTACGGTTGAAGCAAAAAGGATTTTCGTTGCAGCCAAACAGTAACTAAGACGCGGAAATAATCTTATTGGAAAATTGGATTCATGAGTCATAGTCGTTTCCTCTGCAATAAACAGTAGCACACACTACAGTATTTCCGAACACCGCGGGCAGAGCCTTTTTTTTTTTTTTTTTACCTACGCTCTGTATTTAACGGAGCAGAGACTCCGTAGCTTTGTGCTTACATAAGTACGTACATACGCTGCTGAATCTTTTGTTACAAAAATCTTTATTACCTATCTTTTGCTTTATTCATAGATGACAAAACTCATTCAGGAAAATGGGATTGATACCGGTGCATAATAAATGAGAAAATGGGATTGATACCGGTGCATAATAAATGAGAATATGCAACAGCTTATATGGTAATTTTCCAATCATACACCTTACCTCTTGATTGCACTGAGGCTCGAGCGCCGAGAGCCACACCAAAACACGTTTCACAAATTTTTTAAAATCAAATAATAAAAATAATATTAATTTTTATTAGCATTATTGGTATTTGTTATTTCTTATTATTAGTGAATATAAATTTGATATGAAATATTATATTTAAATGTAATATAATTAGGAAATGAATCCATTTTAAGTTCAGAGTCGATAGTTTAATTATACTTAATTATTAAAAAAAAAATTTTTTGTGTGGTTTTTGTGTATGAATAAATGCAAATCGTCTACTTAGGTTGTTATGATCACCGGTTCCGGTTTACTCAATAAAAATGTTGGTATTAAACTTTTTATTTACTAATTATGTTGTATCTGTTTTTGCATACGTATAAAGTATATATTATAAATATTTACAAATTTTAATTGATTT